CCCAGCCTTTTTAAAAATTTTCCTTTCCTCTCAAAACACTTAATATCTCTCATATCTTCTGCTCTCACAACTACTGAAGCTTCTCAAGGCCATGCCCACAGTTCCACTTCCTCCTCAAAAACGGGAACTTGCTATCACATCTGCCTGCGTAGAAAGCAAGGTATCTTCTGACAGATCCACAAATGGCCTCCAGCAACCGAGCCACCCCGCAACTCTTCCTCCCTTCTGCCCCATATGGACACAGTACCTGAACACCACACTGCAGTAAATTCCAGGGCACACTCTGCTTGCTAAACACATCTCTTGACAACAATTCATCATTTCCCCCTTCCACATACCTACTATAGCTCACTAAGGGCATAGATTCCCTTCCAAATATGATCATAGCTATGTTGTCCCAAGGCATGAGAAGAGGCCGCACGACTTGATGACACAGGATGTGGTTCGAGCATCGCTGCTGTGTGCTTCTGGAGGACTTCCACCACCCTCTCCACATCCGAGGCCTTGGTTCAAAGCACATCAGATGCAGATGCAGGACAACTTGCAAACAAGTCAGCTTGCCACCTGCCACCCCACAACAAGCCAGGGCCAAGTCTAGGGGATTTGGTGAGGTAGGGCAGCAGTGCTCATCTCTCCTCCTTTACGCAAGCAAAAACGTAGGAACGGACTTCACTATCACAGGATGCTGAGGAAATGCTCCAGATTGTCCAAGATGCAAAAGCATCCTTTTATTCTAAGACGTATGGAGTGGTACGAATACTACGTAGTCCCTCTCTCCTTTTTTTTTCTCCATCATCATGTATTTCCTGACCAAAACCAAAAATATCAAACTTGCTGAGCAAGCCATTATGGAAAAAGCCAGGAAGATGATTTCTGTCTCATTGTCTCAGAGAGCTGCAAAGCCATTTATGCTCTTGTTAGTGGTGGTGATAGCTTTTCCCAGACTTCTCAGAAAAAAATTATATGCTGTGGCAAGATTTGAAAGAATGTTTTCTTTGTGAAATATCTGGCATAGGTGAAAGGTCTGAAAATTGAGATCATAAATGAAAGCTTATTTCAGTCCTAAACAAAGAAGAACTATGGTAAATTCCCAATTGTTTTGTTTCTTAGGAGAACATAATCCAAAAGTGATCCATTCAGTTCTTCAAAATGTTTTAAAGCCAGCTTTGGCTGCAAAGTCTCCACATCTACTTTCTGATTTATACGTTTTTTTTAAAAAAAAAAAAATCTCCCTGTTCCATGAGAGACCCAGGCAAGGACGTACTGGATTTTAAATGGGAACTAGGAAGACTAAATATATAGAGAGCACTGCTAAAGAAAAGGCTAAACAAAATTTGTAGTAATAAAGTAGTTTTAAAAGTAAAGTAAAAAGTAGTTAAAACAAAACGAAACAACAACAACAAAAAAAAAACCCAAAAGCGCAGCTAATCTTGCACTTTCTTTTCTTTAATTGTCACTCATACCTAAAGTATAACTTAAATAGCATGGTCATACCTTAGCAATTATTGGCATCAGTAAAATTCTTTTGATGAACCAATGTTCACTTTCATAACTTTTACTGAGCTTCAGGTGCAGGCAAAGCAAATAAGTGTCTAAAGAGGTGTCAGGAAGTCGATGGGGTCCAAAGCAAGGGATGTCCCAGCCCAGCAGGCAACTCCAGGACAGGCACCATCGCTGCAGGCAGCTCGTGACTTCGTGATACTGAAGGAAGGAACAGTCACCTCACCAAGGGCTTCTGCTTTCGCCAAGAAGGTGATTGCTGAAAGCAGAGGGCAGTTTGAGGGACAACTCCTTCCCAGGGACAGGAGGGACATTCCAGTTCTGTATACAACTGCAACCTGAGCTATAAAGTGTTGCCGTTGCTCATGGTGTTGCAGACCTCACCAGAGCAATGAGAGGTAGTAATCTCACCATCTAACTGCCAGTAAATTTTGCGGAGACATTTATATGATCCTAATCCTATAGTAACTCACCATCTGCAATGCATTAACTCTCATCACCCTTTGAGAGGCAGAGGACTCCTGTTTCCCCAGTTTTACAGATGAGGATGCCAAACTTGCTAAACTTTTAGCACAGGAGCAACGTGGTATTGCTCCAGGACATCTGAGCAATCTATGATACCCTGCAGTTCATCCACATTATCTGCCATACGCATCAATGTGCAGAGGTTACTAGACATATGCAAGTCAGCCCTACTGGATGCATCCAGTAAACAAGATGCAATTAAGATAGCCAAATACTATACTACGTTTTACAGCTGACCGTGCAAAGCAAGGGAAAGATCTGAGGTGCTACAGGTGCCTCAAATACTCTGTGGATGCAGAGCAGGCCTGATATATGAGTTCGTGGTGCCACTTGCCCAAGGATGCTAGATGGCGGACAGCCCTGCCAGAGCACGACAGCCTGCAAGCGGCCCCAACGTCAGAATCAAGAGAACTCGTAAAACCAGAGTGGAAATTTAGAGACGATCAGTTCCCTCTTGCTGAGGCATGGGCAGTCTGTGTTGCGCCCTCCTAAGTTTTAGGCTTATGCCTCACTTCTGCAGCATCTCGCCTTGCCACTGCACATCTGAATCTGGTCACAGGAAGAAGAGCTGTTCTATATGATTCCTTTGAGACCAGGTGCAAGACAGACAAACGCCAGGGCTAATTCTGATCTGACTTAGGTGAACCTCAGAGCTTTTGAATATTTATGCAAGTATTTGAGCTGCCTTATTAAACTTTTGCAGTTTTGTAGCCCTAAAATGAACTGGGGAAGAAAGGAAAAAAATCCTTCTAACACCTCGCTAAGGGACTTTTAATGAAATTCAGGCATATATGTATGATACACAAACCTGAGGCAACCTTTCCCTAGGCATTTCAATTTCCCTGAAAGTGTCCAATAAATAAATAGCAATATTTTAAAATGAGAAGTTATATTACTGCTACAAATTTTGAATGAAAGTCCATCAGCTTATCCACTTTCTTCCACTGTTTCAATTTTATCACAACTTTTCGCTGCCAGGGATCTGTTTTAGGCTTAATCTGTTTGATATAAAATAACAACAAAATGTATTGCTATTACCACATGCTTTTTGTACAGGAGGCAATAGTTAGCAGGGAAAGTTCATATATTCAGTTTCACTTTTTATTTTCAACAGACGCCAAAAAAAGCTAACAACAAAATGTATTGCTATTACCACGTGCTTTTTGTAAAGGAGGCAATATTTAGCAGGGAAAGTTCATATATTCGGTTTCACTTTTTGCTTTCAACAGATGCCAAAAAAGTGGTTCTTGATTATACAGTAGGAGAGAAGTTAGATATCTAAGCAATAAATAAATAGCAATATTTTAAAATGAGAAGTTATATTACTGCTACAAATTTTGAATGAAAGTCCATCAGCTTATCCACTTTCTTCCACTGTTTCAATTTTATCACAACTTTTCGCTGCCAGGGATCTGTTTTAGGCTTAATCTGTTTGATATAAAATAACAACAAAATGTATTGCTATTACCACATGCTTTTTGTACAGGAGGCAATAGTTAGCAGGGAAAGTTCATATATTCAGTTTCACTTTTTATTTTCAACAGACGCCAAAAAAAGCGGTTCTTGATTATACAGTAGGAGAGAAGTTAGATATCTAAGCCCTCAGTTATACAAAACCCATCAATCTATATTTCTCAAAAAGTGCATTTTAGAATTTAATTGCTGAAATTTATGTCAGTGCACCCTGAAGAGCAGTTGCAACTTTTTTTTAACAACTAAAAGAGGGAAATTCCTCATATTTACCCTTATAAACGGCATCCAGTTGGCTCTTTTTTTCAAAGCTCTGGTTGGACCTAACATGCCCCAGTTTTCTGATCTAGAAACCTCTGCATCATAAGCAGGAAATGTCCTCATTGTCTGCTGTTTGCAGAAGATGCTCCTAAGTTTTTGGACAACTTAAAGCATAAACGCAGAAGGTAGTGTTTTAAATATAACAAGCAGGACATTAATTCCCAGAACAAATAACATATATTACCTGTTGGGGGGACAAAAAAAAAAAAAAAAAAGTCAAGTCATAAAATGCCAATGGGCACATCCTGATCCCATGTTTCCTTTCCATCAGACACAATAAAACTCCCTGCTGTTAACTCTGGAGCCTCCAAAGATATGATTAGCATTTCCAAAAACACTTATTACCCAGGGTACATTTAATACTGTCAGTCTTGACAAGAATAGCATTAACCTAGAGCAAGTTCTTTGAAAAGCCTGTCTATAGAGGAAGCCACTGCTGGTCTGAAACAAGGGTAAGTTACAGTAAAGGTACAGACATTATCGCCTAGTTGTGCAAACACTTCTGCCTCTATTTATCTTAGATCATTCCAGGCAGTTCAGCTGGACTAATGAAATGTTAATGGTAATACAGATCTACAGAACAAAGTATGTTCTGAAAACTTGGTCCTTTTCAGCCCTACCATCTGGTCAAATAAAAGGAATGATTTGTAGGATGGTGCATGCATTTAAAAGCAATATGTTATTTATGTTGAACATCTATGTATCTCTGTTGCACCCTGAACACATAACGGAGATTTTTGCTTGGTTTTGTCTTTGAAGCCAGGTAGCAGATGAGAAACGCGATGGTTCTGCCCATAAGCCCTGAACTGCAGAGACTTGGCGAGGCCCTGTGCAATGACGTGTAGAAGGCCGACCTCTAGTGGGAACACCATGAGTTTGTGATACGCAATAACGCAAGGGCAGGAAAACTCCAGAAACGCTTGCAAACGGCGTGAACGAGAGCTGGAGAATAAAGTGGACTCAGAGTAACGACATTAAAAGCATGAGCACTGTGGTACTTTGAGCAGTGGAAGCCATGCAGGTCCTTCTGATGCTGTCATGACCAAAAATGCCCACAATCTTATTATTCTACAACATAAAACACTTATCTATAATAACTGGAGCTTCCACTTAAATCTTTAAAGCTATATATGTAGAAAGATATGTATGTCTATGTTATACACGGAGAAGTACATTTCAGTTACCAGGAAAAAGAGCTCCATCTCATCAGCTGAATTCTTCAGATCCTTAAGGTTGCAGTCAATACCGAAGTGAGCAAGCAGACGCTGGAGCTGAGGTTTCAGCTCCTCCATTTCAGTGCTGGGCTGGGACAAAGCAGATCTGACCTCCTTGTGGCAGGGTCCTGCAAGGCCATAATCAGACCAGCTGGAGAAAGTCAATGTTTTTAGCAACATGACTGTAAGCAACACCATCAGTGCCCTTTGCTTTGCATCCACACAATGAAATCATTTTCTTTTTTTGCCCAGAGCAGAAATATAATAATATAACAGGAATGTGACCTGGAGGAAAAATTCCTGCACATTCCTATGTATTTTTAAATTCATTTCTTTTCATTCTCTTTTATGAAAGGGCCCTTCACCTGAGCCCAGAAGACTAACAGCTGCTGCAGGTCTGCTTACGTACATGGTTCTTGGAAGCCTGCCTGTCTTCTCAGATGGAAAGCACATCAGCTAACAAGTCCTAGTGCCTGAGCAAAGCCTTGTAGCTTGGGGTGTGTACAACACTCGCCCGACACACACACCTCCTGAATCTTCACACCCCACAAGAATTTCAAGTGTGTTACTATTTGAGGGTTATCACTCCTCCTGTATCTGATACAGGCATAATGCTGCTATCGCAAACTTCTAAAACAAGAGTGTAAAGGCCTGGCTGGACCTGGTATGATGTCCATGCTAAAAGGTCTGTCTGCAACTTAGCACCCTTTTTTAGAAGAACTGAAATGTTTTCTCCTCCTCCTTTACCTTGTCTCAGGCATGCTGACAGCTATGGAGGTTACTGGTGTTCCTTCATCTTTGAACACACCAAACTATTGTGTTCCTGTAAGTTTCGTTATCTTATCACCTCTTTTTCAGTTCGTTGATAGGTACGTTTAACAGCATTTTTAACAAAGAATCTTACACTTCATGGTGTGTCATCATCTTTTAATAAAGTTGATTCTTACTCTTTTTTTGTCTCTAAGCCAAGCTATAACAAACCACAATACTTTATCTGGAAAAAATCTTTTTCCAAAGATTTCTGAAAGCCCAAATAAAAACCAACTTCAGCACTCACTGTACCGATGATGGCGCTTGCAAAGATCCTCATGGTAAATTACAGTTTTCTAAAGTTCAGCAAAACTGGCGGAGCTTAGTGGATTTATTATCTCATTTTTTCAGCAGTAAAGGGCCATCTGTGCTTCTACACTAGGCTTTGCTTCATCTTTGCTTATAATGTCTTGCTTAATCATCTTGTTGTTTCATCTACCAAGCTCAGATCCACGTAGGAGATGAGTGAAGTTTATGATGTTCATAGGATACTGTACACAGCTACATACTGAGAAGCAAGACAAACTATGTCACTTCTGAGTTGCTTTCTCACATAAATAATGATTTATTCCCTTGAAAACAGAAGGGCCCAGATGAATTGTGTAACATACTCCAGGTTTGCAGAATAAGGGTCTTCTAGACACACGGGTGAGCACTGAAATTCATGGGATTCAACACAGGGAGAGAGAAAAAAAAAAAAAAAAGAGAATATTATAAAAGATGCAGTCTCATACCCAAGGATGAATCTCCGCCATACCCACCAGAGTGAGCAGGGAGCAAGCCTAGCAGGTGTCTGTCCCTCTTCAGTGCCACAGCAGACAGCAGGGCTAGATGGGCTCCTGCCCTGCTGGCTACTTCCCCAAATCAGCAAATGGAGGGAACCACAGGAGGGGACAAGGCTTTTGCAGCCCTGGGAATGCAGCAAGTGGCATGCTTGGGCTGCAGCTATTGTCCTTCTCGGTTGAGCTCTCAGCATTTTTCATGGCTACTTCTCCCTGCCACAGGACCTTTTCCGGGCATGAGAACACTCTGGAACAAGGATACTGTCTTGCTTGCTCAAGTGTTGTTCATATGGGTAACTCTTCATAAGCAATGTCACTTCCTCCCATCCTCCAGAAGTAAAAAGAGCACAAAGAGATTTTTCTAGGGATTCACTGTATAAAGCAAAGAATCCCTCTAGAAACAGGGCACTCTCAGAAATATTTTAAATAATATTTTTTTCAGAAAATTTGGAGAGTGAGTTTCAGGGACAACATCCTGGAACCTCCCCAAAGCTGATTCCACATGTCTTCTTCTAAGCTGACTCTTTCTGTGACTCAGTGCACAGATATGAAAGCCAAACTACTCAAACATAAACCTTACGTAGGCCACAGACGCCACCACTGCGGATTGGCAGCTCCACACTCTGGAATTTGGGCACCACCTTTTCCAGGAGTCCCACTGATTTTAAAAGCCACATGCCAAATTTCTCAAGCATGCAAATCAAGGATGGCACTCAGTACTTCCTAGATGTGCATTATTGACCATTCTTGAAGAATATAATCAACAAATGCATTATCTGTAAGACTTGCGGCTTTTTAAAGGAAGATGATAATTTCTCACCATTTCCTTTTAAAATTCTGGAGCAGAGAGAGACATTGCTGCTAAAAATATCTGAATTCTTGCCCAGAGCACTTCTTAATATGTCCCAGTTGTCTTAAACTACATCAGGACATTTCTCACTAGCCAGACTGATTCCATGAGAAAGTGGCAAATGCTAGAGAACCTGGATTAGAAACATCAGTGACTTATTCTGAGTCACTTAGAAGTCATACAAAGTGTTTAATTGTATATTTAGTAATAAAAAAAAACACACAAAAGAAGAAAAAATATTTTTTTTTAGTTGCTATGAATTACTTTTAACACTTATACAATAAAATCTCTAGAGAAGCAAGATAAAGTAAGAAAGTATTCAGATTTGTCTTCAAAATGTGGTGCATTCTTAAGCAAATAAATGCTCCTGAAATCTTGAAGCAGACAATTTGCTGAGATGACTCAATCCATTGATAGTGCCCTGCTGTACCAAAGCATCATCACAGTAGCTCATGTTATAGGGAAGAAAAGTCTCCCTGAGTTTCCTCCTTCTTGTTCTAGGTCACCTGAAAACCAAGCAGCCCACACTGTGCAGCTGGCTTCCAGGAGACCCCTTGTCCCCCTTACGGCAGGGGGCTCAGCTGAAGGTAGCGATTGCCTTCCTAGCAAAATTACTGCACTAATTGACTGGCATGTCCATGTCCCTAGGTCAATGCCTTCAAACTTCTTACTTTTACACTGAATTTCATCTTCCTGGGTTTACTGTTTGGGAAGACAGTACAATTACACTTCACCATTCAAAGCGTTCGTCTTACCTGAAGGAAGCAGTGAATGCCCTTTACAGAGTGCAAGTGGCACACTAGCCACTGAGTGTAAATCATCAGATCTTCCCAGGTCACAACATTCACTGACTTTTCCTTTCCTGTCAGGAACTTCTCCCTTGCAGCTGAGAGTCTAGCAGCCCTCTCAACAGCACCGTTGTATTCTTCTGTGATGTGACCAGTTCGCTTCTGTTTCTGTTTATATATGAAACACACAGTCATTTTTGCATTTGTGTGTTTTGGCTCCACACTAGCTAGAAGGCATTCCCATTGCATGTGCAGTCCTAGTCTGACAGTAGGACCTTGAAGGTTTATTTCCTTCCTATAGAGTTGGGAATGGAATAGGAATGGTATTTCCAATTGAATGAGGAGAAGTGAGTTGCAGTCTATATAGCAACTCTCTCTAAGCAACTAATACTGACCATAAACAGAGCACTGAGAACATACTCAGTGATCAACGTGTGAACCCAGACAGATTAGTAATAATGTTTAAGAACATATAGTGATCCTTTAATATGTTTTCTACATTTAAACAGGCAAAACTCTTCAAGTAGCAAGAAAAAAAAACACTTTTAATATAAAAAGTCAATCAGCTCCTTTAAGAATGAAATAAATGACCAATGAATAAATATAGTGCTGTTTTTTTTAATGAAATAGGTCTTTCTAGTATTGATGATAGAGAACTTGACATTAGGGAATCTCAGAACAAGTCTGGAACTGCGGAGGAAGTGAAAATACAATTTTACCATTTTCCACTCAAAATTATGCGTCACCCTCCTTTTTTATTTTTATTTTTTAATAACTATAATGGCAAAATGGTTTATGCAAGTCATTTCCTGTTATGATTTACCAATTCACATTATTTCTAAAAGCCTCCAAATTGCTAAGACTGTTAGAAATCCCTGGCACTGGAGTCACATTGACGTCCGACTCTTGTTCTTCCAAAACTGGCCTTCAGCCATGGAAGAGTTTCAAAGCCAGTTTGCCCAGCAGAAAAAACTTTCTGCTTTTTGGCAGATGGAACAAGAGGACTTTAAATGTCCTGACCATGACACAAGCTCCCAAAGCAGGACAGTCCTCCCTACTTTGCCCCTCACAGAGCACACTGTAAAACGGGCCTTTGGCCTCAGTTCATACATTACCCAAACAAGAGTCATGAAAATACCAGCACAACCATATGCAGTAGGGGGAAAAAAAAAAAAGATAATTACGACACAAATGAATGGAAGATTTCATAACAATTAGGAATTACAATTCTAAAGGAGAATATATACAATGTATAATGGCAAGACAGAATTGACACTATCATGCTTGAAGTTTTGTTGCATCTGACTGAAAAAAAACCCAGTTTCACCTGTAAGAGAACTCAGTCTGCCTGCTGCCAAAGCTATTTATCCTGCAAAATTAAAGGCACTGAAGTAAGCAAAATGACTAAAGTGTTGTTTGAAATACAATAAATTAGAACAATTAAAGCAGGGATTTAAAAGAAAGAACTCTATCTTCCTGAGCTGCACTTGAGATGCTGCTTCACTGCAAGTGTTTATGTTTTAAAATAAACCTTAACAATTGCATTAAATGGAGTTACATACCTATTACACACAGAATACCTGTATTCAGTACTACCAGGTAGGGGACAAGGATATGATAGTCTAGACAAGTATGGCATTGTTTGAAACTATGTAAAGCATCAGATGCTACAGTAACACCTACTAAGGTCCAGAAATTTCAGAGTTTTAGAAATTATCCTTAATGTTAGTAACTTTATTTGCCTGGAAAAAAAAAGCCAACACTAACCATTTTGTGTTTTTTATTTCAATGAATAAATATTGTGCTAAACATGTATACACTAGATCCTAGTTTTTGGTTCCTACTTGATAGAGAGGATAAAATTATTCAAATTATTACGCTGCTGTGTGTACAAAATATCTCCTATGTGCAAATATTTACAGTGGACTAGCTGAGCAATTCTGTCTGTAAAAAACTTGAACAAAATCAGAGATAACCAACACATCACACATTAGTAAACAACAGCATTTTGATATTATAGGAAACTTAGGCAGCATATCAGTCATCATTAGCATCAGAGAATGATACTAAAATGATAGTTATCAGTTGCCCAAGACCAATGCACTGTTTTATTTATCCTTTAAGTGGGAGCTTCCTTAGAGCTGTTCCAGAGAGCTAAGTACTATTATGGGAATGGAAAAAGAAGTTAACATGAGGAAAATAGCAGAATCCAGCCTGCTAGACCTAGAAACTGAACTTCATTAAAAAAAAAAAGGAAAAAAAAAGGAAATAAAAGTAACCTACAGAAAAGAAAACAAACAAACTCAAAAGCATCATAAAAATAGAAGAATATCGATCCAGTCCATCTTATCTGGCTGGGATTCCTGCTCTTGAAACAAACAGAAGCGTCACAGAATTTTTCACGTCATCTGAGGAAGTGCTTCAAGGTGAAAGCCCTAATGCTGACGTGACTTTCAGGGGGGAATTGCGTGTCACTCAGATTTTTCATGTCATGCCCCAGACGTGGCACTTTGCAGCCAGTACAGGCAGTACCTGGTGCAGCAGCAGAGCTGGGTTGCTGCCGTGTGCTCTCTCCTCAAGCAGCTCTCCAACTCCCTCTGCATGGCAGCAGCCTGAATAGCGAGAGGTTTTGCCTCAGACACCTGCAAGCAGAGCAGCTACACGTCCAATAGACCTTTCAAGAAGAGTATTAAAAATATATATATAAATATGGAAAAAATATTTAGGCTTTGGATTTAATTGGGAGCAGCCCCATAAACAGAAGCTGCACAGCCAGGTCCATATCACTGGTATCACAAGAACAATCTTATCCAAATAAAAGAAAGGCTATTTTGTTTTACTAATATGCAAGTCACATGATGACCCTTCCCATCCTGTCCTTACAGGTTCTTCCCCATTTCAAAAATAGTTTAATTTACCGCTATTATTCAGTGAAGAGAATTGAAAGCTAATGTATTCTTCAGCTACCTGTAAGGTTTTCTTCAGTTTTATCTCTCTTTTTTGAAATAAGATGCATCCTTTGGAACTAGAACAGAACTGCAGAAAACAAATGCTACAGACAATTTGGTATGAGCAAGCATTTGACAGGCCCAACACAATTCAAATGGCAAAGTCAACAGTGAACAAGTTCAGAGGTATGAACAACCTGTATTAAAGCAGCCATAGTTCATTTAATTAGAAGGCATCTTTTTTTTTTGGTAAAATTTTAAGGCACAGCCTGATTTCTTCCACTTCCATTTTCTAGCCAAAGCCTTTAAAAAGACCATCTGGAATCTTGCCAAATAGAATACTACAAATAAAATATGTAAATATTACAACCCTTGTAGTGGAATGCTTTGATAAGCATCCGCCACAATTTGTTGGTTTTCCTTTCTAATATGCTTATATGACAAAAGGAAGGGATGAGAAAACTTCTGGAGGAGAACTCTTTCTTAATTTTCATGCATCAATACATCATGCAGAAAGAATAGCTTGTACACTTTTGTTTTTAATTGAACAAAATGAATATATGTGCATTAAATACACAGGTGAAAAACGAACCCTTAAAAAAAGGGATTTCTGACTTTTTTACAGAAGTTTTACGTGGGAGTACTGGAGAACTTTATAAAGTGTACCCATAAACTTCCATAAAAAGTTAAGATTGGAAGGGATTTTTTTGTGAGCATCTTCCTTTTCTGGTCTAAGCAGGCAAAAGAAAATTCCCTGTGAATAGATGCTCTTCTAACCTGTTCTTGAGTATCTCCAGTCGTGGATGGTCCACAGTGTCCCAGACTAGATGAAACATCAGTGTTCAATTAACATTGTCTTGAAAAGTTTTTCCCAATTTGAACTTTAGCCTGTTATTTTCTGTCCTAACCATAAGTGGACATGAAGAGCTTATTCCCTCCCTCTTTGTAGCAAATTCCCATATGTTTGAAGACTTATAATCCAGACAAAACAGAGTGGAGACATAAGCCCAGCTCCTTTCATCTTTTCAAGTTTCCTACTCAAGTTTTATTGAACTCTCT